GTTTATTTTTTGGGTAATTTAGTGGCTATTTATGAGTTAGGGATAAAAAAGGGACTAACAGACAATAAATTGAGTATAACTCTATAGATCTCAATTGAATTTAAGCACAAGGTTCCATACCACAATAGGAAGCTTTGGATTTATTCTGAGGGTTATTTTCTACCTGAGTAGTAATTTAGGGCCAAAAAGGGATAAAAAAAAACATTTTCATGTTTCAGGACACTGATATGTGTTTGATAGTATGAACTTCTATGAAATATTATTATTAGGTTCCATACTTCAAATGGAAAGTTTGATTTATTTAAGGGTCATGCTCCAAACCGTTTAATAATAAGGGGCTGAAAAGTGGCGAAAAAACTAGGATTTTCTTATAACTTGATTATAACTTGAGTATAAATTCATTTATTACTCTGTAAATGTGCCACAAGGTGGTATACCATGGGATTGATTGCAGGGGTTATGAGCCCATTGGTTTAGTTAAAAGGGCCAAAACAAATACTTCGTATCAATTGCTTATGTCTTTAGCAATTTCAATGGGGTTTACTTCTAGAGTCTTAAATTCTCGGTAGTCTTTAATATGTTGAATCTAAATGGGTATTTATAATTTGTATTTTGGGGTCTGTTTTTTAAATGATCTATATTAAGGTTCAAAGGGTATAGAATTAAACTTTGTTTTACTTCTTTGATAATAAAATTAGTGTTGTTCCTTCATTTGCTGAATCTAATTGTGAGCCTGTCTTCAAATTGGTCAGCATTAAAGACCAAAGGGTCAAATATACATTTTTTTTTCAAGACAAAAATATAAATTCTTGGGATTCTTGGTATGCTCGACCTAATTGTGTATTTAGATTTCTGATTTTAGGGATGGTCGGTCCACATGAATGTCCAAAGGGTTCAAATAAAACTTTGTTTGATTTAAAACAAAAAGAATGGTTGGGGTAATTAGACATGCTGAATATAAGTTTGTTTTTAGCTTTTTGATTTTGGCCCCAGTATACAAGATGGTCCAAATTGGGGTACAAAACTGAACATTGTTTGATTTCATTTTGTGTTATTTGATGTGGTCAATCCAACAGTGTTTTATATTTATGGATTTTTGGATTTTGTTCTTGGTTTTCTTGGAATATGAGTTCAGAATTAAACTTTATTTTATTTTTTTCAAAAATTAAATCATCGGTGCTCTTTAATTCGCGCAATCTAAAACTTTTGATTTTGATCCGTTTTCTAACTTGACCCCATAAAGGTTTAAAGTATCCAAAATAAAACTGAGTTTGATTTTAACAAAGAATGAAACAATGTGGTTATTTGATATGCTGAATCCAACCATGCATTTTGAATTTTAATGTTGGACCATATTTGGTAAATGTCTAGTTTTAAAATTATTTAAGCACTTATACATATTTGCTCAGAATCTGATTCAGTGATGTAACTGCACAATTAATCATATCTAATTTCAGAGAACTATTTTTGTGGTTTACATCACTGGTTAATGGGAAATAAATTGGATCAGAGACAATAACTTTAGTATAAGTGTATGGATATGTAAGACATTTTTGCACAAGGGTCCATACTACAATAGGAGGGTTGGGATAGTAAATATTTAATCAAGTTTTACATTTACCGGATTTGTAATAACATAAGCAACACGACGGGTGCCACATGTGGAGCAGGATCTGCTTACCCTTCCGGAGCACCTGAGATCACCCCCAGTTTTTGGTGGGGTTCGTGTTGCTTAGTCTTTAGTTTTCTATGTTGTGTCATCTCTACTATTATTTGTCTGTTTGTCTTTTTATTTTTGGCCATGGCGTTGTCAGTTTATTTTCGATCTATGAGTTTGACGGTCCCTCTGGTATCTTTCATCCCTCTTTTATTGATTTATTGTAAACTAATAAAAAATTTTAACTGCTTAAAATAGATTTGCTGATTTAGATATATTAACTGAGGTGATAATTGTGTATGCATCATGTTAGATTTAAAGATTGTCAACATGATTGAATATTTTCTAATTGGTTGAATATTCACTTGAAAAATTAAACAAACCTTTGTGCATTTGTTAAAGTGGAAGGGCAAGTAAAATTTTAAATACATTTGGTTTATCTTAATGCTATTTTCATAAAAGTATGTATTTTATTACAATACATTGTGTAGAAAAGTTGTTGACATTGATAAATAAGTTGCAGATATTTGTTTGTGACAAATGAAAGAAAAAATATTGGGAACTATTAAATATATATATAGTTTGATTACGCTAAGTGCTTTAAAATAATTTTCACCTGTTATGAATGCAAGATAACAAAACATCTGGTAATTGTCAATCAAACAATCATAATTGAAGTGACAGATGTATTTGAAAATTTTGTGTTTCTTAAATGATTTTGATGATAAGCTCCGTAGGAAAGTATAAATGAAGTTTGAAATTCACTGTTCATTATTAGATATTTTGAAGATAATTACAGATAAGTTTTATAGATTTTTTATAGACATTGTATTAATGATAAATGATAATTTGTGAAAACTATCTTTTTCTTGGTAAATTGTTTGAAGATTTATTTTGTAGGTTTGTTTGTTTTTCTGTATAAACTATTATTTTGACTTTTGTATATATATTTTTTTATGAAGCGAACTTCTTTTAAAAGTAAGCTTCGATTGTCTCTTCATAAACATGTATTTAGATTTTTTATTGTGGGCCCAGTTTTCAAATAAGTCCAAAGCGGGGTCCAAAATTGAACTCTGTTTGATTTCAACTTAAATTGAATTTATAGGGTTCTTTGAAATGCTGAATCTATCCATGTATTTAAATTTTGGATTGTGGGCTCCTTTTGGTCCACGTAGAGGTCTTAAATATTGTATTCATACTTGCCTCAACTGTTCAGGGTTCGAACTCTGCTGTCGTACCAAGCTTGCGCCTAGCGGAGCATTTTATTTTAGTAAAACATTCTGTGCAAAAGATAGAAATATCATATAACTGGACATTTTTTACTGATTCTTCATTAAATAGTATCGATACCGATGAAATAGGAGTATTGTAGTTTGGAAATCATTGTGTGTTTTTACTTTTCACCATTATCACCGAATACAAGCGACCAAATCTTCATATTTTTTACCCCTGTTTCAAAATTAAGCATCAATAATGATATTCTAATTTCTGTGAAAATTATGGATGATTTTAGGTTCAAAATGGCATGGACTGTTACTAAACAAGTATCAAAAGGTATGAATAAATCACTGTTAGGGGGAAATAACAATTTACTTATTTCCATACCTCCGAAGCGCTTTGATGGATTGACCGACACAAAGAACGCTCAACCCCAAACATTTTAAATCGAGGATAAATCGACGGAAACACGTTTGAGCTTTATTACCAGAATATACATTAAAAAAATTTCAAAATTCATCAAAGTCAACTGTCTGAGGTCAGTTGATTAATTCTGGGTAGACCTAAGATGACTGAATGTTTTTTTTATTTAGTTCAAGCTTTTAGAAGAAGTAATGTCAAAATTCTAAAAAGGTACCAGGTTTATACTTTGGTAAACCAGACACGCAATAAGACTTATAATTGACAATATTGTATTATCCACCAATAACAAAAAACGGGGATAAACTAAATTTTAGATTTTAAAAGAAATAAATGAAATCTTTTCATTGTATGATTTGTGTTAGGGCTGTTAAACTTATTTTTTGTACGTCTACTCTATTACAAAATATATCAATCAAAACATAAATATTTGTGTGGGAGATATTTGTATGGCAATAAATAACAGTAATTGTGTCGTACAAAAGAAAAGAAAGTAAACAAAAAAAAAATCAGTAAATGCACATCAAAATACAAAAATCAAAGTTAAGACTGGCCCTTCAACGCGGCGCCAAAAAACTCTCACCTACGACGAATCCTAACATTATCTTAATTACAATTGAATTTTATGCGACTGTCATAAAATGAGAGGTTTCGCTAGCTATAATTCCAGGTTTTTTCCACCATTTTTTACACAAGGAAATGTTTGTACCATGTTAGGAATATTACAGTTGTTTTTCATTGGTTTGATGTGTTTGGGCTTTTGATTTTGACATTTAATAAGCATACTAAGGGACTTTCCGTTTTGAATTTTTGTTATTTTTCTTTTATAAGACTGTTTAATGCGTGTTTATACCAAATTCGTTTGTTTATGCTGATTCTAACTTTAGTCTACGAGAACATGATAAATGTATTAGTTGTTTGTTGGTATGAACTAGATTTCAGAACTGGAAGTACTCATTGACACTTTGTGTATTTATCTTTATATTATTTCTTTTTATACTTCGTGCCAATTTTATATTGTGCTGTTATACCAATGGGTCAAGTTAGGAGATGATAAGTGCTAACAAACTTGTTTAGCCTCTCCATATTCTCCCATCTGCCTGTCCCTAGTGAAGAACCTGAAATTTAGGAATGGGTATTATTTTCCTTCACATTTTGTCATACTGGGACCTTTTATGCTCTTAGTTTATCTCATTGATGAAGGCCATACGGTGACCTACAGTTGCTTAAATCCGTAACACTTGCACTCTGTTGTATAGTTGACTCGTTGACAATAAAATTGAGAATGGAAATGGGGAATGTGTCAAAGAGACAACAACCCGACCATAGAGCAGACAACAGCCGAAGGCCACCAATGGGTCTTCAATGCAGCGAGAAACTCCCGCACCCGGAGGCGTCCTTCAGCTGGCCCCTAAACAAATATGTATACTAGTTCAGTGATAATGGACGTCATACTATGCAAAAGCATACCACATCTCTTTGTTTCATAGTGACGAAACGAAAGTTTATTTGTTTTTAAGTCATCAATTAATTTTTATATGGTGCATTCACAATTAAATGAAAGAATAACAAGTAATAATATTCAGTTATATTTCAAATGAGAAACATTAAAGGAGATATTAAGACCCTTAAACAGGCAGTTATGATATATTGACGAAGACGGTATTTTTTTTTAATCTTATTAATCGTTTTCCTTATTTTATAGATCAAATGAATAAAGAATTAGAAACCTGGAAAACAGATGACATAATGTTCGTAGAAACAAATGCAGCAAAAAGGGTATTGAGATATGTAAAAGTAAATGGCTGTGTTGTCATAACTGGCAGTTTCGGAATGGGAAAAACATCATTGGCGCGTCACGTAGCTTTGCAAATGCAACAAGAAGGATATGTTATTTTACCTGTTACAAACCCAAATGAAATTGTCAGTTTTTACAATCCACTTACGAAAAACCAAGTTTTTGTTGTAGATGATTTTTGTGGAACATATACTTTGAATAAAATAAATTTTGAAAGTTGGAAAAGTAACATGCAAAAAATCCAAAAATGGGTATCGAAAGGAGTCTGGTTAATTATGACTAGTAGACTGCAGGTTTATAAGGATGAAAAATTAAAAGCTTTGTCCTTTATTCAATCTTGTGAATGTAATCTCTTGTCTGAAAATATGTGTTTGTCGGGGACAGAAAAACAATTAATAGCGGAATTGTATTTGAAAGCAATGTCTTCAAAGATTCAGACATTTCGGGACATGTTTGACTGTTTTCCTCTCTTATGCCAATTGTTTAGTAAAAACACAAATATGTGCATTATAAACTTCTTTACGAATCCATTTACAGTTTACAAAACAGAGTTAGATAATTTAAAGCAAGAGGAAGCATATGACAAATACTGTGCACTTGCTCTATGTGTGATGTTTAATAATAATTTCGAGGAAAAATTAATCACTGAAGACGCTGATAAAAATTTCAAAACTGTTGTAAAGAAAACATATGAAGCTTTGAAAGTAGCGAAATCATTAACATGGGTTCTTCATGATGAGCTTAATTCTCTCACCAATACCTTTATCAAAAAGGATGGTAATGTGTATCGCACAATTGATGACAAGTTTTTTGAATTTCTTGTTCTTCATTTTGCCAATGTCATGATGAGTTGTTTAATTGATAATGCTACTAGTCGTTTTATCAGTGAAAGGTTTGTTTTCAAAAATAGGGACACGAGTGAAAAGATTGAAATTACTGTACCAGAACCGTATCAGGAAAGATATATCAATAGAATGATCTGTGATTGGGAGAGAAATGAAGTTGTTGATGTGTTCTGTAATATCAATATGGACAACAAACTGTTCAGAAATAGATTTTTTGAACATTTAAAAAGTTTGGATATTTCAAAACAGAAAAAATTGGCAACTGCATGTGATAGAGTTAACAATATTACACCGCTGATGCAGTGTTGTTTAGATGGAGATGATGCTATGATTGATTGGTGTCTACATCATTGTATCGATAATGTTAATTATTGTCGACATAAAGATAAAGTATCGGCTTTATACATTGCCTGTCAAAAAGGATATAAAAGTTTAGTGCAGCGATTGATAAATAATAAGGCAGATGTTAATGAGTGTACATCCACTGGATCATCGCCTCTGCACATTGCGTCTCATGAGGAACATGCTGACATAGTTGAAATATTAATAGAGAATAAAGCAGACATTTTAAAGTGTAATGATAAAGACGCATCTCCTTTATTAATTGCTTGTCAAAAAGGTAATTTGGCAATAGTTGAAAAGTTAATAGACCATGAGGCAGACGTTGATAAATGTGCACGAGATGGCGTATCTCCGCTTTATATTGCTTGTCAAAATGGACATACAGACATTGTTCAAAGGCTACTAGACTCGTCTGCAATCATTGATAAGTATACACATGATAACGTATCGCCTCTTTACATTGCTTGTCAAGAAGGACATAAAGACATTGTTCAAAAGCTACTTGACAAATCTGCAAACGTTGAAAAGTGTGCACATTATGGCGTATCTCCTCTTTATATTGCTTGTCAAGAAGGACATACAGACATTGTTCAAATTCTACTAGACAAATCTGCAATCGTTGATAAGTGTAGAAACACTGGATCATCGCCTTTGTACATTGCTTGTCAGCAAGGTCATTTTGATGTGGTCCAAAAGTTGATAGACAAGAAGGCAGACATTAACAAGTGTACAAATACTGGTTCCGAACCTTTGTTTGTGGCTTGTAAGGAAGGATATACTGCGGTAGTTCAATTAGCGATGAATAATAGAGCAAACATAAAAATTACCGCTGATAAAAACGTATCATCTCTCGATATTGCGAGAGAGGAAAATAACTTGATATACAATAAATTTAAAGATAAGGGAGCATCATCTCTCTTCATTGCTTGTCAGCAAGGACATACGGAAATTGTTCGCATTTTGATAAACAATGAGGCAGATATCAATAGGTGTGACAAAACTGAACAATCACCATTATTCGTTGCTTGTCAGCAAGGACATACGGAAATTGTTCGCATTTTGATAAACAATGAGGCAGATACCAATATGCTTGACAAAACTGAACAATCACCATTATTCGTTGCTTGTCAGCAAGGACATACGGATATTGTTCGCATTTTGATAAACAATGAAGCAAATATCAATAGGTGTGACAAAATTGAACAATCACCATTATTGGTTGCTTGTCAAAACAGACATACTGCAGTTGTTAAACTGTTAGTCAATATCAATATTAATATGTGTACTCTTACTGGGGTCTCACCTCTGTTCGTTGCTTGTCAGAAAGGGTATACTGAAGTAGTTGAAATATTGATAATTGGGTCGGCAAACATTAATAAGTGTAATGATGATAAAGTTTCTCCTCTTTATATTGCTTGTCAGGAAGGACATTCTGAAGTAGTTAATTTGTTGATAAACAACAATGCAGACATTAATAGGTGTAATGCTGAAGACGTGTCACCTTTGTTCATTGCTTGTCAAAAAGGCCACACTTTAATAGTAGAGTTGTTAATAACGAATGAGGCAGTCATTGATAAGTGTGTCAATAAAGGATTATCCCCTCTATACATTGCTTGTCAAAATGGACACACTAAAGCGGTTCAAATGTTGATTGACAAAAATGCAGACATAAATAGATGTAAAGATACTGGAGCCTCGCCTCTTTTCATTGCATGTCAAAACGGACATACTGAAAATGTTCAACTATTAATTAACAATAATGTAGATATCAATAAGTGCACGCGTACTGGGGCATCGCCTCTGTTCATTGCCTGTCTTGAAGGACACACTCATATTGTTGAGAAATTAATACACCATAATGTAGATATCAATAAGTGCATCGATACTGGATCATCTCCACTGTGCGTTGCTTGTTTGAACGGACATACTTCTGTTGTTCATCTGTTAATTAACAATAATGTAGATATTGATAAGTGCCCTGATACTGGAGCGTCGCCTCTGTTTAATGCCTGTTATAACGGGCATACTAATATAGCAGAAAAGCTGATAGAGATTGGGGCAGATATAAATAAGTGCAGTAATTATGAAGAATCACCTCTATACATTGCTTGTCAAGAAGGACATACTGAAGTAGTTCAGGTGCTAATAAAAAATGATGCAGACATTACTAAATGTACCAAAAACGACGTATCACCTCTATTCATTGCCTGTCAGCAAGGACACATTGATATAGTAATTGTTCTAATAAGCAAAATGGCAAATATTAATGAATGCAACGGTAAAGGTGTATCCCCTCTGTCCATTGCTTGCCAGAAAAACCACATTGAGTTAGTTCAACTTTTAATAAACAATAAGGCTGACATTAATAAATGTGATGATGAAGATGTATCACCTCTGTTCATGGCATCTCAGGAAGGTTTCACATTAGTGGTTAAAATGTTAATTAATAATGGGGCAGTGGTTAATAAGTGCAATAATGAAGATGCATCACCTCTATTCATTGCCTGTGAACAAGGACATATTGAAATCGTTCGGTTATTAGTAAAAAATAATGCAGATCCAAATAAATGCAGAATAACAAGAGCATCCCCTCTTTTTATTGCCTGTCAGAAAGGACATACCGAAATAGCTAAGATATTAATAAACAATAACGCAGAGATCAATAAGTGTACATATACTAGGTCATCACCTTTATTCATTGCTTGTAAGAAAGGACACATCAGTTTGGTTGAGATATTAATAAAAAACGGAGCAAACATCAATAAGTGTACAAGTAATAAGTCAACACCTCTGTACATTGCGCGTCTAGAAAGACACCCTGAAGTAGTTCGGATGTTATTAAACAATAAGGCAGGCATGAATAGGTATACAGAAAATGTGGCATCTCCTCCAGTGATTGATTCTGATTAGGGCGCAAAGGGCGCACGCATCCCTTTTAATCGGGAAAATGAATATTTTTGGCTAAATAATCGTTAAATATATTAGTATTATCTATAACAATTAGCTACCTCTTTCGTTGTAACCTACATCTGTCCATGTCCTCTGTAAATTGATTGTCAGAATGAACATGCGAAAGCAATTACGCTGTATCACAGTAAGGCAGATTTTCATCAATGTAAAAAATTGATCAACGCCTTTGATCGTTGCTACACAGAAAGGACATGCTGCAGAACTTCAGATGTTTAAAAACAATCATACAGATATATGTGTTCTTATGATGATGCATAAGTAGGTACATGAACAGAGCGAAGCTACCAATACATAATGATATTGGAAGGATTTTGTTTTAAAGAATAGATCATCGCCTCTCTTCATTGATTGCCAGGAAAGTAATTTTCAGTGGAATCTGCAGGACTTTACCTCTTACATCACAAAAAAGTAATTATAGTGAAATTTAATTGGTGATTATATGGTTGTTACATAATTCAAGGAGAAGACGTTCATCTACAAACACTTATGATTTATCTTGAAATTACAATTTGTTACAGATTAGTGGTACCTATTGTAAATGAAAATAACACTTCAAAATTTGTATGCCTCCGAAGCCCTTTTATGGATTTACCTTTACTAGAAATGCAATACAAATCGAATGTCAAGGGTGTATTAAACTACTATCGATTTAATGTTAAAGACTCACAACATGTGAAGAGCTATATGACTAAAAAGGGACATAACTATAATAGCCAAAGGCCATTTTGTTTTACAGACAGAATCCAATGATCTAAAAATGTACCTATAGCACATACCGAACATATAGAGTACATATTTGCCTATTGTAAATGCAGGAGCATATAAACCATATTTGACCATCTATTAATGTAATGTTCATTCCTTATCGTCATTTTTATTTACATAATGGAGCATATTAATTATTCTGGTTCCCATTGTACATACTAGAAAAATGTGTGTACTGAATCATTTTTGCTGGTGACTATTCCAGTACAGGATTAAATTAATATGCTGGTCCTCCATTGATCATAGAGCAGCAAAAGAATTTGACTACTACCAAAAAAAACAAAAAAACGCATGAATAAAAAGAAAAAGGTTATACGTCTATAATATATAAAAGAACAACGTTCCAATGTTCCCTGTGTTGCACATGTTTTATCTGTCCAAGGGCAATAGCACAAATAAAATTGTGTTTTTATTTCTTTTAAACTTTTTAAAAACTTATCTTTCAAATAATATAGGCATGAGATCACTAACAATATTATTTTTCAATGTATTTTTTATTGCCGAAGGCATAACTATATATAGAATAGTTGTTTGGCAATGAACATAGATTACAATTCAGAGAGAGACAACTCCTGTACAAAAAAGAATTTTGTTAACCAACAGATACTGCTGATTTTGATATAAATTTCATAAACTACCCTACACGAAATGTAGGTGTGAGAATGCTTACCATGCAATTTTCTATAAAAGAGGGACGAAAGATACCAGAGGGACAGTCAAACTCATAGATCGAAAACAAACTGACAACGCCATGGTCAAAAATAAAAAGACAAACAGACAAATAATAGTACAGATGACACAACATAGAAAACTAAAAACTAAGCAACACGAACCCCACCAAAAACTGGGGGTGATCTCAGGTGCTCCGGAAGGGTAAGCAGATCCTGCTCCACATGTGGCACCCGTCGTGTTGCTTATGTTATTACAAATCCGGTAAATAGTCTAATTCGGTAGGTCACATTCGTGAAAAGGGAAGGGTATTGTAGTTACGACATATATCATCTGTGAAACGGTTCTTCCATAACGGTCAACCAACTCGTGATGGCGTCCGTAAAATTTACGAAGGGATGATTTCAACTTCACCATTTGGAACTCTTGGTTTAATAGCTTCCTTGTGAGCAGCAATCCTCTTTCAAGGAAATCATGATAGGAAATACAAGCCCGGGAATATCGTATTAATTGGGAGATATATACTCCGTATGCAGGCGCTGCTGGAATGTTGCTACATAGAAATGGAAAGATCACAATTGGGAAGCTGAATTCATCTCTTTTGTCGTAAAGTTTTGTTTTCAACCGACCCTCATTGTCAATTTCTAGATGTAAGTCTGTAGTATCCTTTATCTCTAGTTCGATGGGATAGATTCGTTCAACATAGTCACCAAATTTTGTATTATTTAGTGAGAGAACATCATCTATATAGCGGAACGTAAAGTTAAAGGATATTGCTAACTTCTTATCTTTCTTCCTAAGAAGTTCCTGTATGAAGTCAGCCTCATAATAATAAAGAAACAAGTCGGCAAGAAGAGGGGCACAATTGATTCCCATAGGAATTCCGACAGTCTGTTGAAAAACTCGTCCTCAAAACGTAACAAATATGTTGTCAATCAAGAAATCAAGCATCTCGATAGTGTCAGTTTCAGAGAATTTTTTGTTTGAATCAGAGTGATTCTTTACAAAGAAGGATTTATCCCTCCCCAAGACAAGATACTTGTATCTACGTTCGCCATTCTTTTAAATGAAACAAAGTAATACAAAATCTTTCAATTTGTCTTTTAGTTTGGAATGGGGAATACTTGTGTAAAGTGTAGAAAAGTCAAATGTTTTAATACTATTGCAAGATGAGAGAGTCTTAGATTGTATGTACTCTAAAAGATCTTTGGAATTTTTTAGTATCCACATCTGATACACGCCACCTCTAGAATAGGCAGTTTCAGAATAACTTTGGAACCGGCTTTGATTGCTGATAAAATAGATGTTAATAATTCAGAAAGAGGTTTCGTGGAGCACTTGGAAGACCCAGCAATACACCGTTGTTTGTAAGGACACTTATGTAGTTTATGTATTCAATACAGTGATGCAAGATCCAGTTCTTCATCTTTGGTTGAAATTCCAAAGGAACATAGACCTATGATTATCCAGGATTTCCTCTTTGGTAAGTGTCGTGAGGGTATATGTTGAGTTTCCAAATGAATTGTCAATACCTAATTCATTTATCAAGCAGTTTATGTAATGATACATGTATTTACACACAAAAACGATGTTGTTTGGGGCTTTATCTGCGGGGACAACAACATATTTGTCATGGTGGTAGGACAAGTGTTTTGCAACATTTGGGTCTTTAAAAATTGACGTAGCGTGGGTATTGATAGACCCATTTAGTTTCTTATTTCGGATTTGTATCAACGACCTCACAGCCTTAATCCTTTCGGAAAGAGTATCTACGTCTTCTTTCTCGCGTTTAGCCCATTGCCTGGCATAATCCTCGACTGAATCCATCAGTATTTTGAAGTTGTATTTCCAATTGATGGATTTAGGCTCACGATATTTCGGACCTTTGTATAACAAATTTCGCAGGGAAGTGTTATTGACAATGTTGAAGTCTCCGGTAATAATGTGGCCAGCCGGATTATATGTGAATTTGGAACTAGCACAGGTGCAATCAGGAGGTTTAGACTTGAAGTCGTCAATGTTGAGATCCTGCAAAACGTATTTGTAATATGTCCGATAAAGTGCTAATAAAAATCTTTGATGTAAATTACATAAATACCTGGCAAGAATTGTGCATTTGATAGAATGTTACAATTTTACAATGTTTTCTATAGAATTTAAATTTCTAAGGGGCATTTCTTCTTCTTTAAAAATAGTTGGTTATTAATTACCACTGTTTTTTTTTAAATTTGTCCGAGGCAACTGCTGATATAATCCTTTGATATGAACTATGATATGGTAGTTGTGTGTATTTCTGTCTTTCATTTTTGCTTATGTGCTTTGTCTATATGTCATTTTGTTTTTCGTTGTTGACATATTTGTTTGTTTTTATAGTGATTAAGATAATAACACAATAATGACTGCTGTACCCCTATTTTTGACATTTTTATCTTTTATGTCTGTTTGGTTTTTTTTCACACTTTGTTGTCAGTATAATGGAATTTTATGCGGCTGTCATACAAGTGAGAGGTTAACTTAGCTATAAAACAAGGTTCAATCCACCATTTTCTACATAAGGACATGCAAGTACAAAGCCAGGAATATGACAGTTGCTTTCCATTCGTTTGAAGTGTTTAAGCTTTTGATTTTGTCATTTGATAAGGAACTTTCCGTTTTGAATTTTCCTTGGAGTTCTGTTTTTTGTTATTTTACTTTTTACATATAAATTTTGCTAGCAATGTACAAGTGAGAGCGATTACAAGACCGAAAAAAACAGACGGACGGACGGACGCCTGTGTTTTTAGCGGTATACTACTGTTGCCTTTATTTATGACCCCCGAACAGCGTTTTTTGGGTGACAAAAGTTAGAAGATATGATATAATTCCATGTGAGAAAACTAGTCCTAATAAAGCGGATTTAGGCAAACATAGGTGACCATACGGCCTGAAACAAAGACATAACCCGTACTGTATATCCAGCTAAAAAGGCACTGACAAGAAAAGTGAAACAATTAAAACAATGACCTGAATACATGACAAAACAATAAACAAAAACAAAATAATATGGCAGTCAGCAACAAACGGCAACTACTGGAGTTCCTGACTTGAGAGAGGCACATATAGAATGTGGCGGGGTTAAACATGTTTGTGATTCATCAACCATTCCCCAACCTGGGACATTGAGGTTGCAGCACAACAAACAGTTGGAATGGCTTGGCTCATCAGATCCACATTAACCACTATAAAAGACTAAAGACACGGGTCTAAGAGTCCTCGCAGTTACTGAACGCTAAATTACACATATGTCTTTCATATTTAAGAGATAAACAGATGTTGGTGTGATAGTTCGGATATAAGGTTTTAATTACTTTTTTGTCACAATGAACTAGTGTTTGTTTATAACACTAAACATATATCCAAAATGAACCGCCGATAGTTCCTTGTTGCGATCATAGTTGGGGTCACAGCAGTATAACAAAGATGTTGGTGTTAGAAAGTTAGTTTCACTTAATGAATTAACCTTAAAAATTTAACCTCAGACTGAATCTAAATGCATACTGTAAAAAAAAACATTTATCAGTAAAATATGGAAAAATGAAAATAAATATTTTCAAAATTTTAATCTGGGCACTGTAGGTCATGAACTTGATGTCTTAAAAAACTTAAACCACAGACTGAACCTAACCGATCTAGGATCGCTATGTCTCGCTTTCGCGACATAAATGTTGCAGGCTCGACATAAAGGAAACAACAAGTACAAGTATCAATAAATATTTCGGATAACAGATATCTTTCATCATTATGATAATGATAATGTAAAATGAATAAGGTCAATCTATTCTGATTTAAGGCTAAGTTACAGTAAATGGTCTATTTCACAGATTTTGATAAAATTTTGCATATATCTTTGGCTCATTGAACAATAACTGAAAATCGAAAAAAAATGCATGTATCTCTTTTATTTTCCGAAAATTACTGATTGAATTTTAACGTGATTTTCCATCGTTGAATATCATGTTAAAGGGGTCAGGATCTACAAACAACAAATACAGAACCCAAGCACACGGCAAATTTTGTTAAGCAATCCGCGTAAAATGAGTTTGGTCTCAAAAATGAAAGAATGGGCGTTTGTTTTTTTTTTATCCTCTTGACATTCTCGGATTTGGAATTTTTCCTTGGGGATCGGTATTTTTTGTTCGTTGACCTTTTACCGATTTTGCATTTAATTTAGAATTTAAACCAAATTCCTACTCTGAAGCAAACCAATCACCCGCACACTGTGTAAATGAAGAACAAAATTACAAAACGAGTACAATATAGAATAGATAAAATTGAGAATGGAAATGGGGAATATGTCAAAGAGACAACAACCCGACCAAAGAGCAGACAACAGCCGAAGGCCACCAATGGGTCTTCAATGCAGCGAGAATATCCCGCACCCGGAGGTGGTCCTCAGCTGGCCCCTAAATAAAATTGTGTGCTAGTTCAGAGAATGGAAACGGGGATTGAGTCAAAGAAACAACAACGTTAACCCGACCAAAAAGCGGTTTTGTGTTGTCCTTTTGAATACCAGTGACCCTGAACTGTCTGCTATAGTTGACATGTGGATATCTTTTGGTTTTCTGGTGTCCTTTTGATATACTGCGATAATAAACTACTGTAGTTGACATGCAGATATCTGTAAGTAATTTTTGCTGATGTTTGGTTGCTGTCTTTTTATTTCTAATGCCTTTATTTATGTATAGTTTTTGTTCTATCCCTTTATTGTCCAGTGACCATATCGTGTGTGATTTACCTGTAAGTATCTATTTTTTGTAACTGTCTCTTTGATGTCTAGTATCAATAAAGTGTACATTGTGACTTGGATTGAGAGTTGTCTCATTGGCACTCATACCACATCTTCTTATTTCTATTGTGTATTTTTAACCAGTAGATATCATTATTGTTTCTTTTGTTGGGTTGCTTTTCAACCTGAAGATATATATTGCTATGTGTGCTGTCTCTCTGGTGTCTTAAGGAATTACTGTAATATTTGTTTCTGTCTATGAAGAAATAACTTTAAAAATGTGGTGCACATTGCATTAACTGTGTAGCTGGTTATTTATAAGAATGCACCACATTTTTTATTTCTGGTTTTTTTTAATAGACAGAAAAAATATTACAGTCATTCCTTGTAAATTAATTCTAAATTGATGATGGATGTTAAATGACAATGAAATGTGTTAAACTCCCTTTTTTGCAAGATAACCCTTTAGTGTAAACATTTAATTAACTTAAAACAGTATTGTTTTTTTTCTCATCAAACCATTCATGGCACTCGGAACTTTAATAAAACATACTTTTGCAGAGAAGTAGACAGAACGTCTGTTAAATGTTTTAATTCGCTGTCTTCTTAATATATCCAGTTTAAAAAGGTAATTCAAACTATTCTATATATAGATTTTCTATACGACCATTTCAGCTGTAGCTTTAACTTGTTTTAGGTCCTGAATTTGATTTTAATACTTGACATTGAACATTAGTCAACTTACAAGAAATTAATGACCAATATGAAAATTTATAAAATTTTAGCAGACCTCGCAACAATTTTTAACTTCTTGTACTATTGAAAAAGAAAACAAGTGATGGCGATATGAAAAGAAATGTGAGGTTCAGGAACACGACTACAGAAAGCCATTACATTTCTATGTTCAATTTTTTTTCATGTAAACGCCCCCAGTTCTGAAACCAAGGAATGATGTCACTGTACAAAATTCTACAGTCTTTGCTATCAAATGACTAGATTGTAATCAGTTCATTGTTTAGTATTAAGCCAATAAAGCTACTCATATTTAGGCAACTAAATTTTTTGAGTGTGACAGTATGTTATACTTTTGTGCACATTTTCTTAAATGAAAACTGTAGTAGTAATTCGTGTTTTTTTTTAATAGATAATAGTGTATGGTGTACGCAATGGGACATCAATCAAACAATACAAAGGAATCTAGTTCAAACATCAGTAGACAGGAACATAATTGTATTTATTTTATATTACACATTGGTATATTTGTCTGTTAATTTAATTTTCTAGCTATTTTCAAAGATGGTTGAAGAAAAGTAAACATTTTGCTTGTAATATGGACACAAACTCTTTGTTGTTGACATTATATCATATGAAAAGTCAGTATTAATGTCTTGCTATTTCTCCAACAGCTTTTCTTGACAACTTATTGGATGATCACAAATATATCAATTCTAACTAGAGGCTCTTAAGAGCCTGTGTCGCTCACCTGTATTTACTGATACTTTGGAAATCATGTAAAATAAGGTTAAAATCATAATTAATAGTATTAGATATTAGATATTATAATGATATCAAAGATAATAACAAAAAACTGCAAATTTTTTGTAAAATTACTAACTCAGGGACAGCAACCCAACAATAGGTTGTTGGATTCGTCTGAAAATTTCAGGGCAGATAAATCTAAATCTGATGAACATTTTTGCCACCTGTCAGATTTGCTCTAAATGCTTTAATTTCAGAGATATAAACCAAAAACTGCATTTTACCCCTATGTTCTATTTTTAACCAAGTTGGCCATGATGGTTGGAAGGTGGGGCCATCGGACAATTTTTTTAAACTAGATACCCTAATAATGATTATGGCCAAGTATGGTTAAATTTGTCTCAGTAGATTCAGAGAAGAAGATTTTTGTAAAAGATTACAAAAATTTACGAAAAATTGTTAAAAATTGACTATTAAGGGCAATAACTCCTAAAGGGGTCGACTGACAATTTTGGTCATGACACTTATTTGTAGATCTTACTTTGCTGAACATTATTGCTTTTTATAGTTTATCTCTATCTATAATAATATTCAAGATAATAACCAATAAAATGCTCCGCTGGGCGCAGCTTCATATGACCGCAGAGGTCGAACCCTGAACAGTTGGGGCAAGTATGGACACAACATTCAAGCTTGATACAGCACTGAATTTGGATTGTGATTAAATATTTGACACATCACAGGTTTCTGACACAGAATGAATGTGGTCTAAGAACTTAAAAATTTTTAATTTACCTATTCAAACCATATCATTATTATTTGCTTTTATATATAAATCAGAAATAACCAATTTAAAATGGAAAATTTTAAAGAAAAAAAAATCCCCCCCCCCAATTTTTTGAACCCCCTTATGGTTCATCACCCCCAAACTCAATCCCAGCCTTCCCTTTGTCGTATGGTACCTGCAGTACAATTTCAGAGAGATCCATACACTTGAACACAAGTTATTGTCTGGAAACTATAAAAATGCTTATTTTTGGCCCCTTTTTGGCCCAATTACCCCTAAACTCAAACCCAGCTTTCCCTTTATGATATGGAACCTTGTAGTACAATTTCATAAAGATCCATACACTTACACACAAGTTATTGTCATGAAACTAGAAAAATGCTTGTTTTTTTCCCCTTTTTTGGCCCCTAATTCCTAATATTTTGAGGCAATTACCCCCAAAATCAATCCCAGCATTCCTTGTGTGATATGGAACCTTGTGGTACAATTTCAGAGAGATCCATACACTTGAACACAAGTTATTGTCTGGAAACTAGAAAAATGCTTATTTTTGGCCCCTTTTTGGCCCCTTATTCCTAAACGTTTTGGGCAATTACCCCCAAACTCAATTCCAGCTTTCCCTTTGTGATATGGAACCTTGTAGTACAATTTCAGAAAGATCCATACACTTACACACAAGTTATTGTAATGAAACTAGAAAATTGCTTGTTTTTTGCCCTTTTTTGGCCCCTAATTCCTAATATTTTGAGGCAATTACCCCCAAAATCAATCCCAGCATTCTCTGTGTGAAATGGAACCTTGTGGTACAATGTCAGAGAGATCCATACACTAACACACAAGTTATGTCTGGAAGTTACAAAAATGCTTATTTTTGGCCCCTAATTCCTTAACTGTTGGTACCATAACCCCCAAAATCAATCCCAACCTTCCTTTTGTGGTATTGAACCTTATGGTAAAATTTCATAGAGATCCATTCACTTAAACTAAAGTAAGAGTGCGAAAACCAATGTGTCTTCCGACAACGCCGGACGACGACGACAACGACGCCAACGTCATACCAATATAGGACTGCAAAAATTTTTGCAGTCGTATAAAAACTGCAAAATTTCCTTAAAATTATCAATTCAGGGGCAGCAACCCAACAACAGGTTGTCAGATTTGTCTGAAAATTTCAGGGCAGACAGATCTTGACCTGATAATCAGTTTTACCCTATGTCAGATTTACTCTAAATGCTTTGGTTTCAGAGATATAAGCCAAAATCTACATTGTATTCCCCTATGTTCTATTTTTAGCCATGGCGGCCATCTTGGTTGGTTGGAGGGGTCATCGGACACATTTTTTAAACTAAATACCCTAATGATGATTGTGGCCAAGTTTGGTTAAATTTGGACCAGTGGTTTCAGAGGAGAAGACTTTTGTAAAAAGCTAACGACGACGGACAACGACGGACGACGGACGACAAGGTGAGCTAAAAAGGGGGTTTATGAGAGACCTGTATCATGTGTGTAACTTTTTTGGGTTAAAAATAAATAGATACTAAGCATGTACCTGCTATCTTATATACTGTGGATTCATTATTTTTCGTTCGATACCAATTTTCGTGGAATTCGTGGGTACATGGAAACCACGAATTTAAATGTTCAACGAATTGCAAATTTGCTGTATGATTAAATGGAGAATTTTGGAAAACCACGAAATCAAATATCCACGAAAATGCAAGTTTTCCTCAATCCACGAAAATTGGTTCCCACGAATATAAATGAATCCACAGTAGCAGAAGATAACAATGTAAAATATTGGTTTTAGTAAGACAAACAGTTTAGTGTTTTTTTTTATGGAAAAGCTATTTGCTTTTAGTATCAGGAAAAAAGATTTGCAAAATTGTGCTGTGGCAATTATAACCACAGTAACATCAAAATTCCACCAAGTATCTATAAATGGACAACCTAGGACCATAACTGACAATGGGTGTCAAGTGATGGCAAAAGCTCACACTGACCTAGTGGGCCAGGTGAGCTCAAAATTGTTTGTTTGAATCAGAGCAAAGAGAAAACATACAAAGCCAGAGATACAAAACTTGTATCTATATTCATTATTTACCAATATAACATACATTTATTGTTCTAATCCTGCTATTTTACGTTGACGCTTTACATATAGCTTTTTTTTTAATTCTCAAATGCTGTCTTTTAATTTTTATAGATATTGATATGGCATAAATAAGGACGATATCTTGTTTCATTGTGTGGCTCTCTAATTGATGTACCGGCAATTCCAATGAACTGGCTTCTGGGGTTGACCTAAAGATATCTTGTTTTTGTTAAGTGTCTCTCTCCTTGATGTACAGGCAATTCCAATGAACTGTCTACTGGGGTTGGCCAATAGATATCTTGTTTTTGTTGGGTGGCTCTCTCATTGATATACAGGCCAATGAACAGTCTACTGGGGTTGACCAATAGATATCTTGTTATTTTTTGGTGGCTCTCTCATTGTTATACAGGATATTCCAATGAACTTTCTAATGGGGTTGACTTGTAGATATCTTGTTTAAAACTTGTTGATTTGAACCAGATAAAAGAGAAAACATAAAAACCAAATGATCAAAAACTTATTGTATTCATAATTAACATTCATAATATAAACATAAATACTAGATTGCATTTATATTGAGGTGATAGCACAAAAAATCTGGGTAAGCTTCTTATAAATACTTAGAAATCTGGAGAACCAAATAGATTCTTTAAAATACTTAGAAATCTGGCTAATCAGATGGCTTCTTATAAATACTTAGAAATCTGACTAATCAGATGGCTTCTTATAAATACTTAGAAATCTGGCTTACCAAAGGGACCCTAATGAATATTGAAATAGCATCATCAAATCAATGAACTTGATTGAATACCTATCACCAAGTAATAATACATGATTATTTTCTCCAGGATTCCTACTTAAATAAAACAATCAAGTATGATGTATTAGTTGTTCAAAATAAAAGTACATATATAATTCTCATTAAAGTGTGCAAAATAACCTTCAGGGAATTTTCCATCGTACCATTGCAGGGTCTGATCCCGGATCCCGCTTATTGTTTTGTCAGATTCCTGTATCCCGCTTAACACTGTAATAATAACGGTTGTAATTTCATGTGCTCTGCCAGACTTCGTTTCCTGTTTTCATGCTTAATAATTTTACTTTCACGAGTCATGCTTACTAAATATAGGGTAATCCCTAGTCACGCTTAAACCCCTATGAGACCCACACCATTTGTGTAACAAATAATTATGATGCTAAATAACTTATTTTTAGAGTATCCTATTACCTATTACAGTAGGTGTAATAAGCACCTTAATTTGCACATGCAAAGCATGTTGTAATAATGACAACGCAACAACTATCCATCAAAGATCCAATGACTTAGATATAAGCAAATATATTATTAAAAACTTGACCTTAAAAATTTGTAAGGGTTCCGCGGAACCCAGTGTCTTGCCTACTTTTGCTGTTAATCGTAGGCTCAACAAAAATGAGAAAAAAAATTAATAAAAATATTCCTCTCTATACTATCTTTTGATTGTAAGTAGCTTCTGTCCAAGTTTCGTAAAAATCAAGGATAGTTTATGAATCTAATAAATGTTTTAAAAACTTAAACTGCAGACTGTATGTAATGTTAACTGGAAGAAAAACTAAGCCCATTTATAAGTAAAATACGGAAAAAATGAAACAAAATTTAAAAAAAAATTCCTTCTAGATACTAGCTTTTAATCATAAACAAGCTTCTGTCCAAGTTTGGTACAAATTCAGGATAGTTTAAGAAAGTTGTTAAAATTTTAAAAACTTTAACCACAGAGTGAATGTAAAGCTAACTGGCAGAAACTAAGTCCATTTATAAGTAAAATATGGAAAAAATGGATTTTTTTTTTTACAAAATTTACTTCTGGATACTATCTTATGATCATAAACAAGCTTCTTTCCAAGTTTGGTAGAAATCCAGGATAGTTTAAGAAAGTTATTAAAATTTCAAAAACTTTAACCACAGAGTGAATGTAATGTTTCTTGGCAGAAAAACTAAGTCCATTTATAAGTAAAATACGGAAAAAATGGATTTTTTTTTTTACAAAATTTACTTTTGAATATTATCTTATGATCATAAACAAGCTTCTGTCCAAGTTTAGTAGAAATCCAGGATAGTTTAAGAAAGTTATTAAAATTTCAAAAACTTTAACCACAGAGTGAATGTAATGTTTCTTGGCAGAAAAACTAAGTCCATTTATAAGTAAAATACGGAAAAAATGAAATTTTTTTTTTACAAAATTTACTTTTGAATATTATCTTATGATCATAAACAAGCTTCTGTCCAAGTTTGGTAGAAATCCAGGATAGTTTAAGAAAGTTATTAAAATTTCGAAAACTTTAACCACAGAGACGACAGAATGTAGGATCGCTATGTCTCGCTTTTTCGACAAAAGTCGAAGGCTCGACAAAAATGTCTATCTGGCTCAAATATTTTTTGGAAACCTTGGTTTTATTTTTTTAAAAATTTTTAACTGACAACCTAATGTATCATTCCTTTCATGTGACCTAATATGATTCTAGGACTTACAGTTAACCACCAGAGTAAATGACCCAGAAGTTAATTACAAGACATGACCCTGAAATATTTTAAAAAGCCACATGTTATCACTACTAATATGTGATGTAGCTCATTTAACCACATGTTTACAAATATAGGCATACCAATTACAGATAAAGGGAAATAACTCTAACTGACTTGAAAGGGAAATAACTCTACCTGACTTTAATCATGGAGACATTGGAAAATTTAACAGGATGACATTTTGTGAAAACTCACATTTTGATTTTTGCTACAAATTCTTACTTAAAGGTGGTACTTAACACTACAGTGAGATAACTCAGTAAAACCAGCTGAACGTTTTAATCACGTTCTATTGTTAAGGAAGTATTAAGCTTCTCAATGATCAAAATTAGTGTTTGACAAACTGCTATATATCCAATGAAATTTTTGTGTGATTCAAGTTTTTTGAAATTTTTATATTTTTGTCAAAGGGTCAAATTAAATATTTTGTCAAAATTTTATGAAAATTAAACGAGCCAAATTAATTTACGTCAAGGTGTTTGGTACCACCTTAAATAAGGGTCAATTTAATTAATCTAGCACTTATGCTGGTGATGAGTCTCACTAAAAGAAGCATTTGCATCAAATTTATGTTTGACACAATAAATATACTTTCCTTTTAAACTTTTTAGAGTTTCGGTTTTCTGCTCTCTCATTTTGCTCTTTAAACAAAATATCCCATTGTGATTCATATCAATGTTCTCAAATTCACTATCCTCTTTTATTTAGATGCTAAAAACGGATTTATGGCATTCACTTTCACTTCTCTTTGACCATTTGTATCACAGTTTTACCTCTAGCATGACCATGTTCAACTTTTTCAAATGCTGCTGGAACATCTTCAAACGGAAAAACTTTGTCTATCACTGGAATTATCTATAAAAAAAAATTTTAAATTATACATAAATAAATAAAATATATTAAAAATCTTTTTTAATTTTGAAATTTTAACAAAAGTACTAACCAACAATAAAACAATAATGCAGGTGTCCCTATAAGCTTTTATTGGGCCTATATTTAAATGTAAAACAAGATTGATTTATTTAATAATAGAATTTGTAAGGGTTCTGTGAAACCCTGTGTCTTGCCTGCCATTACTTCTGTTAGTGTAACAGCGTAATGTTGATTGCCAAAACCTTAGTCCATTAATCAGTAAAATAAAAAAAAAAAAATTTTTTCTTCAGATCTAATTTCTCAATTATGAAGAAGCTTCTGTCCAAGTTTCAATTTTTCATGAAGGTTTCACAAGTTTTAAATGTTTAAAAATCTAAAAGACTGTATATAAATGTTTACTGGAAAATATAAACTAAGGCCGTTTGGTTGCCTATAATTGCTTACATCCACATCATTTGAACTTTGGTGGATAGTTGTCTCATTGGCAATCATACCACATCTCCTTATTTTTATAATACTGGTAAGTCCATTTATAAGCAACACATGGAACAAGAGGCTCTCAAGAGCCTGAATCGCTCACCTGTATTTCAGAGGAGAAGATTTTTAAATGTTAGCAAACTTGATGAACAAATTGTGTAAAATTGTCTTTGAAGGGCAATAACTCCTTAAGGGGTCAATTGACAATTTTGGTCATATTAAATTTTTTGTAGATCTTACTTTGCTGAACATTATTGCTGCTTACAGTTTATATATATCTATAATAATATTCAAAATAATAAAAAAAAACTGCAAAATTTTGTTAAAACTACCAATTCGGTGGCAGCAACCATACAATGGGTTGTTCGATTCGTCTGATAATTTCAGGGCTGATAGATCTTGACCAATTAAACAATTTTACCCCATGTCACATTTGCTCTAAAAGATTTAGTTTTTGATATGTAAGCCAAAAACTGCATTTGACCCTTATGTTCTATTTTTAGCCATGGCAGCCATGTTTGTTGATGGATACAAACTTCGGATACAATTTATAAACAAGATACCCTAAGGAACATTTAGTTAAAGTTTGAAGGTAATTGGCCCAGTTATTTCAGAGGAGAAGATTTTTGAAATAGTTGACGATGACAGATGACAACAGACGATGACGACCGACCACGACTACAGACGACGGACGCCGACAGACGCCAAGTGATGGCATAAGCTCACATGGGGCCCTTTGGGCCCCGGTGAGCTAAATATGAAAAAAAAAAATTTGCTCTAAAAACTGTTGTTTGATCACAAAATAGCTTCTGTACATGTTTTTCCTAAAATTACATGAAGATTTGACATTATTATAAATGTCTAAAAAAATCTTTATCGACATGCTGATAACTAGGATTGTTATGTTTAGCTTGACTTTTCTTGCAGGTTCAACAATAAAGACAATACATGAAAATGGAAACATTCAAAGAAAGAGGAAATTGTTTACAAATAGTATAAATATTCACTCCGATTTTATGATCAAAAGATAGCATTAATCAAGTTTTTCTATAAAACAGCAAAAAAAAACTTTCTGACACATTTTTGTGAGTGGCAAAAGTGTATACTATTAACATCAGAGGTGTGGTTTACATAGACTGTGGTGAATTAGTAATATGGTACTTAACATGCACTCTAAGTCTGCAAGTGCACAAAATGTTTGATAAATGACCAAAATCTAAGATAATTTTCCACAAAACACTAAGATGATAAAATTATAAATTTTATTCTTAAATACAAGTTTTTATTTATTTGGATTTACCTCAAGTTTAAAATTGACTTGAATTGATTTATTCAATTAATAGTTTAAATTTCAGTGAAAAAATTGGTCCTTAATTTTTATTCATCTCCCCCTCCTTGAATTTTAGCAAATGAGACAATTAACAAATCGGATATTTGTCAATGGCAGATTAAGCACATTGAATCGTAACAGCTGCAATATGCCATAGAGATTAAATATTACACATCAATTTGTCTTGAAGGCATGAGTTTTGTTTTTGCCTCAGTATGTTTGCATCCCCCTTAAATCTGCCATCTTTTTAATACAAAATGTTCATACAAATCCAAATCAAATATGCCAATTACTTTTCCTTCACTATTCTCAGCATCAAATTCTGACAACAAAATTTCAACTAGATTAAATTCCTGCTAAATTGTGGACAATTTCCTACTTCTATAAATGCATGCAAAATAGCTGTCAAAAAAGGGGAGATAATTCTATTTTATTTAAATTTCCCAAAAACTAAAAAAAAGGTTAACCTGGTAATTTTTAACTATAAGTATATTTAGTTCATATAAAAAAAGAGTTTTGTATCTAATTGATTAAAATCTAATATGAAAGTAATAACTTTTTATTACTAAAGACTTTATTTTGTAAACTTAAATTCTTTGTTAGACCTTTCCAAATGTCAAGTCTTGGGAAATACTCAATGGTTGCCTTCCCAAAACAAGTTCATGCCTTAAACTAATGAGTAAGGAAAATAATGAGCCTGGGTAGCTACAGGCTCCCTAGCATTATCTAGGAATAATTTCTGCAAGGGTACAGGTCGCCCCCAAGGTGACCCGCCTACTTCGCGGGATGCCTGGGTTGCAGTGATCTGCCTGAACCCTAACAAATTAAATATAAAAGAAAAGAAATTGATAAAATATTAAACAATAATGAAGAGTATTTCCAATGTCCAATGTATCTTTAACATTTTAACCATGTACAGAATGAGAATTTATTTAAGTTTTTCTTCTTTGTTTTCTTTCAGATGCATGCAAGGTAGCAATCCACATAGAGAAATGAGAAATGACAACTGTGGACACATTATTCAGATTCCTTTTTCATCAGGTTCTTCTTATCTCTTTTCCTTTTTCATCAGGTTCTTCTTATCTCTTTTCCTTTCTCATCTGGATTTTCCTTTCACTCCTTGTGACTCCTTACCAGACTGCAGTAAAATTCAAATTGGCCTTATTGTTGTTTCAAACTAAAAAATTCCTGCTCTAAAGATTGGAGAAAAAAACCATGAGACCACAGAAGATACATAGAAATGATGTTTTTTAAATATTTACCTGATCATCATCTACTAGTTTAGCATATCTTTCTAAAGCTTTCCCCATGGGTAAATAGATTGCCCATCTGTGGCTAATTCCTTTTTTTAAACCCTACAAATGCATAAAAGAATATGTAAATAGGATGTCAACAACAGAAATACAATGGTACAGCACTATTGGTTATGAATAAAAGGAGCTGTGGCAATATTTAGTGGATATAAATGTTTGCACCTGTCCTAAGTCAGAATCTGATTACAGTAGTTGTCGTCTGTTTATGTAGTTCATACATGTTTCTCGTTTCTCGTTTTTATATAGATTGGACCGTTGGTTTTTCTGTTTGAATGGTTTTACACTAGTAATTTTTTGGGGCCCTTTATAGCTTGCTGTTTGGTGTGAGCCAATGCTCCGTGTTGAAGGCCGTACCTTGACCTATAATGGTTTACTTTTATATATTGTAACTTGGATGGAGAGTTGTCTCATTGGCACTCATACCACATCTTCTTATATCTATACACAGTACACAATACCATAGTTATCTATGTTACAACCAAACTCATACAACTGCTCAGGTTAAGCTAAACAACTTGTTTCAAGAGACTTTATATATTTATAATTTTGATTTCAACAACTAATTTTTTTCAGTACAGCTCTTCATAAAAGTTAGAAAATTGGGTAAACACTATAAAAATAAGGAGATGTGGTATGATTGCCAATGAGACAACTATCCACCAAAGTTCAAATGAAGTGGCTGTAAGCAATTATAGGCAACCGTACAGCCTTCAACAATGAGAAAAACCCATACCATATAGTCATCTATAAAAGACCCCTCATTGAAAAATATGAAATAATTCAATTGAGAAAATTAACGGCCTAATTTATAAAAAAACAATTTACGAAAATCAAATATGACAGACTTGTGTTTAGATTTAAGTTGTAACAGTTTCTGAACATTCATACCAAAGAAGTGTCAATAGCAGCATCTGATAACGATCTCAATAGTCCAACAGGTATACCATAGTCATCAATGTTCTGTAAAAACGGATGTTTTAACGTTATATATTTAGCATCATTGCATTTGGAAGGTTTCAAGAATTCCATCGAATATCCTGTTTTCTCTTTTCCAAAACTATCCAATATTATGTCAAATCTGAAAAAAATACCATAAATTTGTTACTAAATGATTTACAAGAACATACTTAGAGAGGTTTGGACAAAGTTAAATGATCATCTTACTTTTAATTAAGAAAATTGGCTTTCAACAAATTTTTATCATCTTTTGTTTATGTTTCCATATTTTGATGACTTTCAGTTTCACATTCGTGCATTTTCCTGTAGAATGCTTATATTCTTACGTCATTGTTCACTGAAGTCATTTACAACGATTGACCTCTGGTGACTCATTCATAAAAAGCATACAACATGGGAGTATAACGGGAACAGTCCAAACATATCCTGCTGTTGCAGATAAGCTGACATACAATATATTCATATTATACAATGGTGTGTACTCAAAGCATTTGAAGAATTTCATATCAGAATTTTTGTGTATATATGGCTATATATTAATCTCATTAAAGTCACAAATATGTATGGTTATATTTCTAACATTTTATATTAAATTAAATTGTTATATATATGTCAGCCAAATTTACAGTATACATAAGATGATGTGGTATGAGTGCCAATGAGACAACTCTCCATCCAAGTCACAATGTCTAAAAAAGTTAACAATTATTGGTCAAAGTACGGCCTTCAACACAGAGCCTTGGCTCACACCAAACAGCAAGCTATAAAGGACCCCAAAATGACTAGTGTAAAACAATTCAAATAGGAAAACCAACGGTCTAATATAATTAAAAAACAAGAAACGAAGAAACACTTATGAACCACATCAACAAAAGACAACCACTGAACAACAGGCTCCTGACTTAGGACAGGGGCATAAAAATGCAGGGGTTTTAAACCTTTTAACAGGCGCCAACCTTCACTCTAACCTGAGACAGTAGTGTAACATTACAACAAAAAAAGAAACACTATAAAATATCAATTGAAATGGCTTAACTCAATCAAAAAGACATTTAAATAAAAATAAGTTAACAAACACTGAAAAAATAAGTTTAATCTATGACACAATATAAATAAAATATTAAAACTTAGGTGCCTATATAACAAAGACGTTACAGGTAGTAATAAAAAAAGATGTAGGAAGAGTGTCAAAAAGACGTTTACACTAAAAATAGTATGCATTTAAAGTGTTTCCATGTTCAACTTAGTGGTCATCATGTTGGTAGCTGGACTGTGAAAGTTTCTAATTGTGTGTTATACATTTATGTCAAACATATGTTATGATAGGCAAAGAGAATACTAGAATCCCACCACATTCTTTCTTCAAAAATTGCAATAATTTGTGAATTTATAGTATTTCCTGTTTTCCTATTTATTCTTTATTCAAGATTAGTTTTAGTATAATTTTTAATTGCTTGGATGCCAATAACAATGTGTTCAAAAAAACACAAAAGAGGAAACATACTTTTCCAAATTAGCTAATTCTTGTCGGACATCTTGTTTTGTGTAGTCAATGACAACATCAGCACCAAGGGAGGTAACTAGTTCTACTGCATCTGTACTGCATATTGTAGCTACTTCAGCCCCAAAAGCCTTCATCAGCTATTCATAAAATATACAAGTAGTTTAACTGAAGATTTATGGACTCAGTCAGGTTGTTAAAAATGAGAGATAAATTATCTACTGTTATAATTTAATATAATTCAGTCATTATAAATCTTTTGATTGAATGGTAAAATTTCAGGACTTTTATAGCTTGTTATGTAATATGGATTTTGCTCATTGTTGAAGGCCACTTTTTAATTTTTAATTTTTTGTCATTTGGTCTTAAGTGTAGAGTTGTCTCATTGGCAATCATACCACATTTCTAGAAGTTTTATTATTTATTATTTTATCATGTATTTGTCCTGTCTAGACATGATGTTATACACAAGAAAAAAAGAAAAATGTACAATCTGTTTGCCAATGATTTAAAATATTTCTCCACTCTATAAATTAAATTTTACAGGCTTGCTGAAGCTCAAATGTTGAAAATCTAAAGTCTTGATTGGCTGTTGTCAACACATTTTCGATGAAGTTGCAATAAACAAATATAGCATAGGTTAAAAAAGAAAGGACTCCTAGCATTTTCTATTATTTCCATTAAAATGTCTATGGTCAATGTAATATGAAAACTAACTAATCAAAGAATTCAAATATCGAAAAAAAAATCATTTCTTGACAAAAAAACCAATTATAATCCCCATTTGTGAATTAATTTGTTGTTGGTCACACCTTCAATATTTTTCAATATTTCAATTCCTGGATTATTTATTCTATAATAAACATACCTGTATTGCAAAAGTTCCTATCCCTCCAGAACCACCATAAATTAAAACTCTGGAATGAAATAGATGTAATGTTATATTAATAACACACAGCTGGGAGGTTGATAGAGCAGATTGTTACCCTGAGAAAACATTGTCACCCCAGGTGGTCATATTTTTTTATTGGTCTGCACTAGAGGGTGACATTAATAAAATTGTCTCCTGTTGAGCCATGAGATAGAGTAAATTGTCTCCCTTGTATTAAACAATCAAAATCGCATTTTAGGGTGTAGTATAATATCTTTAGTTAACACAATTATGATATGAATAAGCCATTAAGGCACTTAAATCTTCATTTATATAAGCATTAATTTTCTAACAGCAAAAGTCACATAAATAAATTGCTTGTTTAAATTAGTATTTTTTATTTATAAAACTTGTGTCTCATCATTCGCAACTTTTTTTTAACCTCAGTTACGGAAATGCCAAAAAAAACATGAAAGAATAAAGTAATTTTACAGGTACCTTTTATCTTTTACACTATTTTCTCTTAATCCTCCAAATTCTGTAAAAGCTGCACTAACTGTACAGGCAACATATGGTATAGAACTGGCTGATGTGTGGGTTATTATGGAGGGCTTCAGTGAAATCTACAACAAAATGTATAAATAGTAACAAACTACAAACTCCTTTTGTATATTTTCTATGCATGAGCCTATTATTAAGTGGTTGAAATTGTTTGCTGTGTGTCTTCATTGTTTTTGGTTTAATGGTATAAACTTAAATCAGGCATATAGAAGTCTACATCTCTATTCTATATAATTCAGCACCCCATTATTCTCTATTCTATTTTTTTGGTATATTTTTCTCTATACTTTTTTTTACTGCCCTTAATTTACACTTTTTGCCCATTATTGTCTATTCTGTAAACCCCATCCAGACCTTCATCTATTTATGACTGTATTCATTATATGTGCATCATTCTAAATGCATTAATAAATCAATGATGGTATTCTCAACATGATACAACACGAAAACAAAGAAGTGTATTTTACATAAACTGTTATCACAGAGATATGTCTCGCCTTTTTTTAATTTTGATAATGCAAATGTTGAAATTAAAATAGCAATACTTTAACATGTAAGTTATGCAAATATTCAAAGTCGATGAACCATGACTGAAGGTACATGGCTAAACAATCTCCATGGAATGAGATGTGCCAATGCTAATACAACTGCATACCAAATACCATTGACTTATTATAAGTCGTTCCCTTTAAACAAACCTAAACACAAACATTAACTTGTAAACTATGTAAAAGTTTCAAAGTCAATGAACCATGATCAGGGGTGGGGCTGTATAATCTCCATGGAAACAATACTTGCAAATGCCAATACATTTGCATACCAAATATCATTGACTTAACATTAGCAGTTCATCTTAAACTGATCTAATCACAAACTAATACATGTAAACTAAGCAAAAGTTTCAAAGTCAATAGACCATGACTGAGGGGGCGGGGCCAAATATTCTCCATGGAAATGAGGTGTGCTAATGCTTATACAACTGAACACAAATTAACATTGGCCTACCACTAATGGTTCCCCTTGAACTGACCTTATCACAAACTAATACATGTTAACTTAGCAAAATTTTCAAAGTCTATAGACCATGACTAAGGGGGTGTAGCCAAATAATCTCCATGGAAATGAGATATGCCAATGCTTATACAACTGCATGCCAAATATCATTGACCTACCACTAGTGGTTCCCATAAATTGACCTAATCACAAACTAATACATGTAAACTATGAAACGTTTCAAAGTCAATAGACCATGACTGAGGGGGCGGGGCCAAATACTCTCCATGGTAATGAGATGTGCCAATGCTAATACAACTGCATACCAAATATCATTGACCTACCACTAGTGGTTCACCATGAACTAGACCTAATCACAAACTAATACATTATTAACGCTACCGCCGCCACCGCCGACGCCAGAAACAGCATACCTATGTCTTGCTTTTTGACTCTGTCAAGGCGAGACAAAAATAATCTCCATTTTAATGAGATGTGCCAATGCTAATACAACTGCATACCAAATATCATTGACCTACCACTAGTGGTTCACCATGAACTAGACCTAATCACAAACTAATACATTGTTGACGCTGCCGCCGCCGCCCCCTCCGCTGTCGCCGCCGCCGGAAACAGCATACCTATGTCTCGCTTTTTGACTCTGTCAAGGCCAGACAAAACATTAAACATTAAGATGACAATTCTAGCTTTATCTAACCTCATGTTCCTGAGCTATTGTATAATCTGCTAGACATCCTTGTTTGGAGGCAAAAACTGTACCCCATACCTATAAAAGAATTTCAACAAGCTACATAAGCAGTCATAGAAATTGGGATTTGGCATTTACAGGACCGAATTGATGATTCATCAAATTTTTCTTAGGAATGTATTACAAAATTTACAAAAATTGACAGGACCAAATATATTTTTACAGGACATGTCCTGTTAGTACTATGCTAATTTCGAGGACTGCATAAGCTTTGAGTCCAAAGATACAGTTTTAAAAGTTTAAAACTTATTAAAAAACTCATCTTAGATACCACGTTTATAATTCATCATGCCAGATGTGCGTTTCATCTACATAACACTCATCACTGGCACCCTATAAAATGGCAGTACTGAACTAAAATGAGCCTCCTTTGTTTGCAAGCATGTGACTTGATTACCGTCTGTTTTCTGGTACAAAAGTGTGCAAATTAATTTTTTGTTTGTTGTTTGAAAGTGAGGGCAATGGATAGAATAAAATATACATGTGCTAACCTCATCTCCACGATGAAACTTTCTTACATCTCTTCCCGTTTCTACAACTTCCCCAGAAAAATCTCTCCCTAGAATCAATGGGAATTCTCCTCCATTTGTTGGGAATATAGTCTTTTGCCTTATTGCATTCATAGCAGTGCTTCCGTATCCAGCTTAAAAGTAGTAAAGGTTCGTTTAAAACAAAGAAATGATTCAAAACTTCTCAGAAATATCTTAAATAATGCTTTATCTTATTTATATTTGTATCATATGTTGTGAAATTCTTTAATATTCATGCAAAACTGTTTATTGTTTTAACATGTTTAAGGCCATCTCATACAGTTACAGGGGAGGTAATAACATCGCTAGCATAAAGTTCTATTTTTCATTACGTCAAAATCTTACAATCATAGGGAGAAGATGCAATTTTCTACAGATCTTGATCAGTAGCTTGACAACTAGTACATGGACCTCTGTTTTAAATGACTTTTGGTATAATTATGTGTCTTTTTTAAATTACAAAAATAACATCAATATAATAGCAAAAAAAGTAATTTTTTTCTTCTAAAATTCTGAAAATTAAATAACTATGTGATGTTTCCAAAGAATTGTTACCCAAATTTAGCATGTTTAGAACATACTATGTCAATAAGATATTCCAAACATTTTTTTTATGAAAAAACTTCTTGCATATTTGCCCTTGAAAAACTATTTTTTTATTAAATTTTAAAGTTTTTTTACAGAAACTTTGATAGATAGACAGAAACTTCAAACAGTAAAACTATTCAGCAAAGTAAGACCTACAAATAAATAACAAAAGAGTGCACACGCTGAAATGCCTCGCCTTCTTTACTAATCATTGATATTATGTTGATAGTCCTAAATATAAAGCTTTATTTCAACTGTCACATAAACTAAACATTAACCAAGTAAACTAAACATTGACCAATGTACCATGAAAATGAGGTCAAGGTCAGATGAACCATGCTAGGCAGGCATGTACAGCTAACAATTCTTCCATACAACAAATATAGCTGACCTATTGCTTATAGTTTAAGAAAAACAGACCAAAACACAAAAACTTAACACTGAGCAATGAACCTTGAAAATGAGGTCAAGGTCAAATAAAACCTGCGTGAATGACATATAGATCAAAAATATAGTTGAACTATTGCATATAGTATTAGAAAAAAAGACCAAAACTCAAAAACTTAACTTTTTTTTTATCTCTGAACCATGAAAATGAGGTCAAGGCCAGATGACACCTGCCAGCTAGACATGTACACCTTACAATCATTCCATACACCAAATATAGTAGACCTATTGCATACAGTAAAAGAAAAACAGACCAAAACACAAAAACTTAACTATAACCACTGAACCATGAAAATGAGGTCAAGGTCAGATGACACCTGCCAGTTGGACATGTACACCTTACAGTCCTTCCATACACCGAATATACTAGACCTATTGCTTATAGTATCTGAGATATGGACTTGACCACCAAAACTTAACCTTGTTCACTGATCCATGAAATGAGGTCGAGGTCAAGTGAAAACTGTCTGAAGGGCATGAGGACCTTGCAAGGTACGCACATACCAAATATAGTTATCCTATTAATTATAATAAGAGAGAATTTAACATTACAAAAAATCTTAACTTTTTTTTCAAGTAGTCACTGAACCATGAAAATGAGGTCAAGGACATTGAACATGTGACTGATGGAAACTTCGTAACATGAGGCATCCATATACAAAGTATGAAGCATCCAGATCTTCACCTTCTAAAATATAAAGCTTTTAAGAAGTAAGCTAACGCCGCCGCCGCCGGATCACTATCCATATGTCGGGCTTTCTGCGACAAAAGTAAAAGTAATAAAAAACACAAACTTTATACTAAATACCTTCAGGATTCAGGATCATTCAGCCTAAGTTTGTTCGAAATTGGTTCAGTAGTTTTAGAGGAGAAGATCTTTGAAAAAGTTTACGACAATGACAGGTGCCCAGTGATGGCAATAGCTTTAAATGGCCTAAAATTTAAAGGATGTAGAAAATTTAAAGAAAAAATTAAAGAATACAGAAAATTTGCGTAAAAAAATTAAAAAATACAGAAAATTTACAGAAAAATTGAAGAATACAGAAATGAAAGAATCAAGACCCTCATAAAGCTTGACCATGTTGATGATTTGAAAGATTAATGTGTTATGTAAATACCTCTCATGCGACAATCTATTGGATTTATACTAGCAGCATGAATATTTATGAGAATTCCTCTTGGATCTTTTATTTTTGGAATTGTCACAGAATCTGATAGTGTCAATTCTTCATTTCCTCCATATTGGTGGATCTGCCAAGCTCTCATTGTTCCTTTTTTATTAGGATCTGTACTGTTGGTGGAATATGATTTAATATGCAGTCTGATCTGTCTTACTGTTGATGATGGATGAAACTTTTGCAGACATCTTTGAACACAGTATGTACATATCTTTTCCATGTTTTATAAATCCTTACAAACTGAAACAGAAGTTGTAATGGGTAAAGTGAACCAACCCTGAGGCAACTGACGTGTGGTAGGGTCAAGCTGGAAAAGAAGTCATATAAATATAACAGAGTAAAAGGTTCTAGATTTATAATTTAATATGCCAGCTATATGTACATGCTTTTTATCTTCCATGGTGAAAAATAGGACATAAGCTTTGTACAAAAGTAGATGAAAAAACAAATAAAGTATTTCTGATATGTTCATGATGTTGAAAAGCTGTCATTTCTAAAATTGCTATTATTCATTTTTTATTATATGATAATAATCTTTTTTATTTACACTTGTATATATTCATATCTAAAAGAAGTTTAGAAGCTTTAACATTTAAATAAAAATAAGGAGATGTGGTATGATAATAAATTGCCACATTCTTTTAATTTAAGACTATATAATCATGATAATATTTCAGATTTAGATGCAATTTCATTAGTACTTCTACTACAGTCTTCATAATAAACCTTCTAATCCACATGCCCAAAGCTTGATTTTAATATAATTTCAGACAAATTCTATTGCCCTGTAGACCTGATTTTTCCAGGGCCAACATCAATTTTACATGCCTGGGATGGTGGGCCTGTGGTTCAGCATGAAGACTGCTAGGAGTGTTTTTGACTGGCCAGAGAGCTCTCAAACAGTGCTAGCTAGCTTTAATCATATCATTACCTATCTATTGATGCTGCCATGTTGAATTTATTGTTTGGGTTGTAAGTCTGTATAAATTGTTTATAGAAATGCAAACATTTAGACATTATTCAAAGTTTATTATCATTTATTTTAAGAATGCACATGATAAGAATATTGTGTATTTTACATACAGATAAAGCTAACAATTAAAATACAACTTAAGATTTGTTCAGGAATCAAATAATTTGTGCTTAACCAGGGGAGATAACTCATAAGTTTATATCAAGAAGATTATAAAAAAGGGTCAGTACACATTTTAAAGTCTTTTTATATATTTGCAAGACAATTTAAAAGAGTTTTACGTTTTTTTTGTTTTTTTGAAAGAGATACGATAGTTTGTAATAAACATTCTTTTTATATCCACTTTTTGCAAAACATTTTCCAGCATAAAATAGAATTATTTTGACATATATATATATACATTTTTTTCGCCTCAGAAATAATAGTGTTGGCTATTTTTTTAAAAATGAATTTGAATATATAATTTTAACACATTTCCATATAGCACCAATATTAAGGGGACGAAGTCCCCTATTACGGTAGAAAAATCAATAAAAAAAAAAAAAAAAAAAAAATCGGGAAAATTTCCCGAAATTTTCATTGTACTAATGAACTCAAAATCGTTAACTTTTTTATTTTCAGACTTTTTTATTTTCCCGCATTTGCGCAGAAATCTACTTCCTTTTTCCGGTCTCGTTTGCATGAGTCTTTGAGTAAAATATATATTTATCAGTCTAGTAAAATATAGGAAGGAACGCAATACCAATTCCATTTTTAATAATTCCTTGAATGACTTGATATGAAAAAACGTTACCTGATAGCGTTTCTTTGTTTACATTGAATATGACGTCATAATATAAATAACGTCACAACTAAAATTCCGAACAACAGAACCGAAATCGGAAACGTAAGGGTATTTCCGTTCTTTTTGAACAGATTTTGAAGTTAAAACATATGTTTGAATTAAAAAAAAATAATTCATACAGACTTCGTCCCCTTTCACAGGTAACGCCTGCCTCATATTAAATGGTTTATCAGAGACATATAGTATTAAAAGTTTCTATTATCACGAATTTATTACTATTTATATGCTTTATAAAAATTTAAAGGGTAGCATTATTTAAAACTGAAAACATCTTACCTATAATTTACTCTGAAATATTCATATATTTTAATTTCAAATGACAGCACACATTATATGTGCTTCAATGTCGAAATGTTATTATGTGCTTGCATAAGAAAAGACAGAGTAATTGCCCTTAATTTTTATCTCGAATGTCTTGCGATTTGACGCTCTGAGGAAAGGAAAAAAAAGTTCCGGAAGTCATCCGAATGTAGTTTGGAAAACGGGGATTTTTGCAATTGGTTAAATTTTTAGAAATGTGAATATTACAACATGATATTATACGTTTCAAGGCGTGAATAGGTTAGCATTATTACACATTACACTTCTTTAATAGAAATATGTCTTTTTTAAGAACGTAAATTCATACAATCGATAATAACTACCTTGAGATCGGACTTGCCATTTTTTATTCATTTATACACATATGCACTAATTTTCACATTTGTGTTTTATTGTACAATTTAAATATCCTCCGAAGACGCCAAGAATTATTATTTGGAATTCATACTGTCATGAATTAACAGGTTCTCTACGTTTTAGCTGACGTAATTTGGTATAGGTAATTTTGTAAATTTATGCCTATTTATTAGTCGTTTTTTTCTTAAAAGTTTTATTTAAGGTCTATATTCAATAAACTACATAAACACGAGCTCTAGAGAGCTTTTCAATTTGACTGAATAATAAAATATATACACACATTATGTGACCTACAAAAATCATGAAAACAACTCAATTTTAAACATTCAATGTATAGTAGATACATGTACCATAGATGACATATACAGTCGTGTCCAGTAATTTAGCCCATCCATTAACTCCGCCCCTTTACTTCCTTGTGGGTCTCTTCCGAAAATATTTTGTCTGCTATATTATTTAAACTTTGAAGAAAACCAACGTCAAGTCTGAATCAAACAAAGACAATGCAATTAAAAAACTATGGAAAGCCAAAATATCAAAAATTTTAAAAAAAAGTTCTAAAACATGGCATGAATGTTCCTTATGAGGTGGTGACCAAGTGTTGTAACTTTGTAGGCAATCAATCATCCAAGACGGCCACCAGCAGGGACTTAGTTTAACATAGGACCCTATGGGAAATACATACAAATGTTTTCTTTTAGAGAACCACTGAATGGAATGAAACCAAACATGGCATAAATGTTCTTAATCATGCTAATGAGGTGCTGACCAAGTGTTGTTACTTCAACATGGAGCTTTAGCTCACACAGAACAACAAGCTACATGTATAAAGGGCCCCAAAATGACCTGTGTAAAACAAATTCAAACAGGAAAACCAATGGTCTAATCTATTTACAAAATGAGAAATATGTATGAACTACACCTAAAAATTTGTCCTCAATCATTATTAGGGTATCTGTTATGATTTTAATCTATTTTTACATGATTTACAAAACCAAAGTAGAATCAGGTGAGTGACACAGTCTCTTGAGAGCCTCTAGTTTTTATTTTGTCCATCTGGAATTCCTTTCTTAGTGGTCCATTATTAAAACATCATTTGCTTACTTTCTTGTTTGTTAATATATATGATAAATCAGCCCTCCATACATGTTTGCTACATACATGACATACATGTATGGGCGGACTTACCAGTTCTGTATAAACTTATTTTTCTGAATGCTATATACATGTATATATTTTTTTGATGAAGCAAACTCCTTTAAAAACTAAGCTTAGTTTGTCTATTGATAAACATATATTTAGATTTCTGATTTTGGGCCCAGTTTTCACATGTTTCAAGTTGGTCCAAATCAGGGTCCAAAATTATACTGTCTTTGATTTCAACATAAATTGAATATATATATAGGGTTCTTTGAAAAGCTGAATCTAAACCTGTATTTATTTTCATTATTAATTAGATAATACCCCATTGAGGTCCAAAGGGTCCTAAATTAAACTTTTGTTTGATTTCATCAACAATTCAAAAATTGAATTCTTGGGGTTCTTTGATATGCTAATGAGAACAATGTTTTTGGATATTGGACCATAATAGGTAAATTTCCGATTTCAAATTTTTCAGTTCTTTGACCACATTCATTTTGTGTCACAAACCTATACTGTGTCAAATATTCAATCACAATCCAAATTCAGAGCTGTTTTAAGCTTAAATGTAGTGTCCATATATATACTTGCTCAACTGTTCAGGATTCCACCTCTGCAGGAAAATCCGGTTTGCTGTCACTCTGACAGCCTATTGTTATATAATGAAGGCATAATCTTTCAATCAGCTTAATCTTAATTGATGTTTGGAACTGGTATGCCAGTAACTGCTAGAAGTCCTTTGTTAATTTATGTTGATCATTGTCATTTTGCTTAGTTTCTTCTGTTGCCTATATATTCTAACATTGGATTCAAACTTCTTTTAAACTGTGGGTATTGCTGTGTGTTTGTTTATTCCACATTGGCTGTAGGTATAGGAGTAGGGTTGAGATCTCTCAAAACATGTTTAACCCTGCTGCATTTTTGTGCCTGTCTCAAGTCAGGAACCTCTGGCCTTTGTAAGTCTTGTATGTTTTTTTTTTTTTAGTTTGGTTCATTTATATGTTTCTGAGTTTAGTGAGACATACGTTTTCACTGAACTAGTATACATTATTGTTAAGGGGCCAGCTGAAGCCTGCCTCTTGGAAGGAGATTTTCTCGCTGTGTTGAAGACCCATTGGTTGTATTGGGCTGTTTTCTGCTCTTTGGTCGGGTTGTTGTCACTTTGACACATTCCACATTTTAATGTCTCAATGTTATTATGTTTCACACTTGAGATTTTTTTTGAAGATCAAATAGTAAGAAAAATGAAGATGCCACCAGCAGATGGTGGGCAGATGATGGTCCATCATGGAGGTCCAAGAGGAGGAGAGACCATGCCGCTAGCCAATCTGATGGAAAATATCATACAGAGGACATACCATGAACTTACTGTTTTGTCTGAATTGTAAGTTTGTTATCACATAGATTTTGATTTTTGATTTTTTGGTGTTTTAACGCCACTTTTAAGCACCGCTTTTGAGCTATTTCGTGGCGGCCAGTTTTTATTGGTGGAGGAAGCCGGAGTGCCCGGAGAAAACCACCAACCTTCGATAGGAAAACTGACAATCCTAGTCAATTAAGATTGGAGTCGAGTGCACCCACACGAGCGGGGTTCGAACTCACAACCTCAGTGTTGACTGGGCTAGTGATTACAGTAGTAATTACTACTTGACCACTCAGCCACCGAGGCCCCTGTTATCACATAGAAGATATATAAGTGTTAGATAGATTACATGTATATATATAGTATTATACAATGTGTAATACACAACTGAATAATACTATAAATTCAAAAATTTATGTGTCCATTTACATGTATTATTGCGATTTACAAAAAAAAAAGACAATTAATTTTTGCGACTTTAGTAGATGCTGCATATAAATAATGCTATCAAAATTTTAAATGCAAGTTTCTATTTTTGCCAAACCTTTATGCAATTTTAGCAATGATACATGTATATACATTGCAAAAATTTCTGTATGTTCCATTTTCTTATTGGTGAGGATGTATATTGGCTTGGCCTGTTCTCCAATTCCCTTTGAAACATGTATTTCTTATTAATAAAATATTTGAGCTTGAAAGTGGGTATTCTTAAATACAAACAAACAAAAAAACCCAAATCAAATCATATGTATAAGAGGTGTACTGGTCAGAAGGAAAATATACATCATATGCATGACACACAAAATATTCACAGGTGTTACCGTAAGCTTGTATTCAGTCATAAGATTTGTATAATACTTGTTCATTGTCTCGCTTTGATGCAGTCAAAAAGCGAGACGTAGGTATGCTGTTTCTGGCGGCGGCGTCAACAATTTGTTAGTTTGTGATTAGGTCTAGTTTATGGTGAACCACTAGTGGTAGGTCAATGATATTTGGTATGCAGCTGTATTAGCATTGGCACATCTCATTTCCATGGAAATTATTTGGCCCTGCCCCCTCAGTCATGGTCTATTGACTTTGAAACGTTTGCTTAGTTTACATGTATTAGTTTGTGATTAGGTCAGTTTATGGGGAACCACTAGTGGTAGGTCAATGATATTTGGTATGCAGTTGTATAAGCATTGGCATATCTCATTTCCATGGAAATTATTTGGCCCTGCCCCCTCAGTCATGGTCTATTGACTTTGAAATGTTCGCTTAGTTTACATGTATAAGTTTGTGATTAGGTCAGTTTATGGGGAACCACTAGTGGTAGTTAAATGATATTTGGTATGCAGTTGTATATGCATTGGTATATCTCATTTCCATGGAAATTATTTGGCCCTGCCCCCTCAGTCATGGTCTATTGACTTTGAAATGTTTGCTTAGTTTACATGTATTAGTTTGTGATTAGGTCAGTTTAGGGGGAACAACTAGTGGTAGGTCAATGATATTTGGTATGCAGTTGTATAAGCATTGGCATATCTCATTTCCATAGAGATTATTTGGCTCCGCCCCCTCAGTCATGGTCTATTGACTTTGAAATGTTTGCTTAGTTTACATGTATTAGTTTGTGATTAGGTCAGTTTAGGGGGAACAACTAGTGGTAGGTCAATGATATTTGGTATGCAGTTGTATAAGCATTGGCATATCTCATTTCCATAGAGATTATTTGGCTCCGCCCCCTCAGTCATGGTCTATTGACTTTGAAACTTTTGCTTAGTTTACATGTATTAGTTTGTGATTAGATCAGTTTAAGATGAACCGCTTATGTTAAGTCAGTGATATTTGGTATGCAAATTTATTGGCATTTGCAAGTCTCGTTTCAATGGAGATTACATGTATATAGCCCAAACCCTCAGCATGGTTCATCGACTTTGAAACTTTTACATAGTTTACAAGTTAATGTTTGTGTTTAGGTTTGTTTAAAGGGAATGACTTATAATAAGTCAATGGTATTTGGAGATTGTTAAGCGATGTACCTTCAGTCATGGTTCATCGATTTTGAATATTTGCATAACTTACATGTTAAAGTATTGCTATTTTAATTTCAATATTTACATTATCAAAATTACAAAAAGGCGAGACATATCTCTGTGATAACAGTTTATTTTACACATGTTTTACTTGTGTATAACACATATGTTTTACATGTATGTTCCTCAACACTC